CCGTCGGGCGGGCTGCTCGGAGCGCGCCGGGAGGCGGCGGGCGGTTGGCGGGGCGCTCAGTTAACAACTTCCCCCCGAACGGAGGTCTCACTCTGCGAACGACTTCTTAGTGATTCGCTCCCCATCCCCTCTGCTTAACTCTCTCGTCTCCATCTTTTGCCTCGGCAGTAACCTGCAGAAGTAGTGATAAKATTATCAAGAATACTATGCTGCCACCAAATGTAGGAAATAAACCCATTATGGCGTGTTTGAGCAGCATGGGCTGGTGCTTAAGGCAGCTTCCTTTACCCCRGGGCCACGTGTGGATAGCCCCGCTGCGGCCTTGCAGGCGCTGCCGCCCCGAGGGAGCGGGGCTCGCTCCAAGCGGCCTGGCCGTCCCCCTTCCATCTGCTCTTGCAGGGGGCTCTGCCACCGCTGCTGCTGCTGCACTTCCGTAACTTTGGCCAACTTCGCACGGAGACGATGAGCAGTAAATCACCAGAAAGGTGAGGCAGAGGACAAAGCAGACGTCTGGAATCGGAGAGGGCTGTAGTTAGCTAATTGTGATCCTTTGCCTTCTCTTAAAAATAGACTCCAAGTACAGTGATGATTCTACTGAACAGTGTGACAGTAAGCCAGGCATCCTTGTCCAGGAGGGAGGTAAGAAAGGCCCTTGATTTCTCAGCAGGAGAAACAATCAGTCCCAGTCAAAGGCAGTCTTCTTTGTTTTTAATATTTAATTCTTAAAACCTCCACCTCATCAACATCCCCTTTCAATTCTCCTCTGAAATCATTTCATTCCTCCCTTGTGTATACTTCTCTCAGCTATTATTTATTATTTAACACTTTGTGATGCAGTTTGTGCTCGAAATACTGCACAGGATGAATCTGTTCCATACTTCTTACTGCATTTGGAGACATTTAAGGTCCAGTCCTGTCAGGCACATCAGATTATGCAAGCCTCTCTGTTGATTTCACTGCTAAAAAGCTGCTTAAATATTTTGCATGATTAGTACTATGCATGTGCAGAAATAATAACATCATAAAATGTTTTATTTTATGAACTCTTAATCCTGAGGAGCTATAGTACAAGTTTCTTGTTTTGCTGAGATCATGGGATTTTCCTTAAGAATTCTCCCAACGCCTCAAAGTCTAAAGGATTTAGATTCTGCTTTCTGCTGGCTTCTACTCCATGAGAATAAAATCTGACCCTAAGTGGAATATACTCAGAAAGAGAACCCAGAACTAGGGAATGCAGGAGCTTGATTTAAAGCTGCTTGAAGAAAACATTTCTTATGACACCAAAAGGCTTTGAATCTCTTCACAGAACCCAGAAGCCATAATCATAAGCCTAGTTAATCATAAATTACTCCAGTTGTGCCTCTTAGTCTTATTAGCGGTAAGGTTATTTTATCTGTATCATGTCTTAAATATTTATCATGCATTGCAGTTCTAGAGCAGACTCACAAACCCCCTGTACTAGGCCTGCTATAGAGCGTGTTAGCGGCTTCAGAGCACATAGTTGTAAGGACACCTGCCTACATGATCTAAATACAAAAGCATTAAATAGAACTGTGGAAACAAGAAAACTTACACACGGTACTGAGGTACAAGTTGGGTCATGACATCATTTTTATAAAGCTTTTTTCACTGAAGTCTATCAAAAGTGTTATTTATTTCAGTTGTCTTTATTAACTGTCCAGAAGCACTTAAGATTTCACAATTTAGCACTATTGCCTTCTGCTGTTAGGACTTTTCTTATTAGCCTTGCTTTAAGGTAAACATTAATTGCCTGCTTTTCTACAGTTGTATCCTGTAACTAATGTTATTTGTGCCTATAGAGTTGTCTTCATGCAAGCACATACCCATTTAGTTAAGTGAAATACTTAATGTCGGCCATAGACATTATGCAAAAACTCCTATTATTTCCCCCCATCTTTCTCTTGATTCCACTGAAACTGATGTGGATCTACAGCAAGCTTGTAGCTTGCCAGAAACTAGGCAGGGAAATGAGATACCARTGTATAAGCATGTTTCAATTGAAGTTATATAAACAGTTCAGCTATCATCGAAAATAATAGCACCTAGAGACCTTAACTGATATGAAGGATGTAGTGTGCTTTGCACCCTACAGGCAAAATCATCAATGCTGTTAAAACTGTCACTGCCTTAAKTACAAAGCCAACATATAACTCTGTTCTCTGTGCACGCATACCAACAACTCCAGGTGCCTGTATTTCACCAGATGCAAGTACATTGTATGCAGACTTATCCATATTATAAATTGTTAGTCTTGGGCACCTTCACTGGCCCCAGCTGTGAGACCAAGCCTTAAGGGGGCCCGGAAAACATTCTCAATGTTAAAGTTCATCCTTCTGGGTCAGTGTGGTGCTCTTGAAAATCAGAATGCCTTTGCAAAAGGCTGGTTGGTAAGCTTTTCAAAGGCAGCACCCCTCACAAAACATTAAAAAGATTTTTTTTACTGCATAATACTATGTAGATGTATGTATGTATTATATAGATCCAATATTCTGCTTACTGTACAAGCTATTAGATCTGATCGTTACAGGTTTTTAAAGAAGAAGAGAAACTGAAGAAGAGTAAAATTAGGAGAGAAAGATAATAAATTAACCTGAATGTTGAGGTGGAGATAAATCTGAAGAATTAATGTACAAAATAATAATTTTTATAGAGATATTCCTTCTGGAACAATCGCAAACACCATGTTCCAGAAAACATTTTTTTTTTTAATAATAATAACAGTGCTGATACAACCCTTGAGTATCTCTTGATGGAGAGAATAGTCCTTTGTTGAACATTAAGTCCCTGGAGCCACCAGCCAATCATTAATTCCTAAGAAATGGCATATATGTCATGTAGCTCAATCATTATTATTCACAGACATTACAGAGCCATGAAANTCTTGATGGAGAGAATAGTCCTTTGTTGAACATTAAGTCCCTGGAGCCACCAGCCAATCATTAATTCCTAAGAAATGGCATATATGTCATGTAGCACAATAATAATTATTCACACACATTACAGAGCCATGAAAATCTGGAGGTCATAAAAAAAAAAAAAAAAAAAAAAAGAACAGCTAGACAGGCCTGATCTCAGGTAGTACTGATGTGAAAGACTTTTTGTGATATGCAATGTCACGTGGAAACTGCAATGTCAGTGTCTCTTTTCTTGATCACGGAATCATAGAATCATTAAGACTGGAAGGTACCTTTAGAGATCATCTAATCCAACTGCCTTGCACACACCTAGAGCACATGGCACAGAGTGGCGTCCTTTGAAGATCTCCAGAGAAGGAGGCTCCACAACCTCTCCAGGCAGCCTGTTCCAGGGCTCTGGCACCCTCACYGTTAAGAACYTTTTCCTTAAGTTCCCGTGGAACTTGTGGTGCTTCAGTTTGTGGCTCTTTCCTCTAGTTCTATCAGTGGTCACCTCTGAAAAGAGGCCGGTCCCTTCTTCCTCACTGCCTCCCTTGAGGTATTTAGAGACACTGATCAGGTCCCCCCTCAGCCTTCTCTTCTCCAGGCTGAAGAGGTCCAGTTCTCTCAGCCTTCCCTCATAGGGCAGATGTCCCAGACCACTGATCATCCTCGTAATTGTTGATAGCTATTTCATGTGGCAAGGGATGTTTGGATGCATAGATAAAAATATGTTGTAGATGAAGAACAAAAACATGCTTTATCAGGCCMTACTACAGCAGCATATTGACAACCACTAAGCTTGAAAATAGTATTTTTAAATGTTCAAATGTTTCTACTGTGGAGTAACAAGATAGCCTGAGATATGAAAGAAATTACCTTACCATACAAGAGGTGAAGACACAAAATGAAGTTAGCTACAAGAGACCTGGGATTTACAGATACCGAGAACAGGATCTATAAGCATTGTAAACAGCCTCGGACCACACAGCTCCCAAGTTTGTTTTGAACATCTCCACATTCTCAGATCAATGCACATCATACAACCCCATCTGCTGCTGCTCAAGTTTAGTCATTCCTTCCATTAAGATAGGAGTTTTGCCACTGGGATTAGGCTAGCACATAGTTAAAATACAGACGGTGCTAGACCTTGCTTTTAGTGATAAAGCTAACTCTTCATAAGCCTTTCCTTTGTATTGTTATTTTGAAAAACTGCAATCATTAGTATCATATCAATGCAGCACTGTATGAAAACCTGGCCTGCAGTGTGTTGATACTAAATACATATTTCCTTTT